CTTATATGGGTAGCATGTGTTTGTATTTTGATGGTAAATTGTATGTTTTACTCCATTTATCACCCATATCTTTTTTTTTCCTTTATCTAAGTATGCTTTGTTTTGTATTCTAATAACGTTGATATTGAAAATGATGATGATAGGAATAAGAGTAATATCAATAATGATAATAAGAATAACAATATTCTACGTAGAATTAAATACGATTTTAATTTGTATTTGGGGAATGGAGAAGATTGTTTTATCTATTTCTATTAAAAGTCATTTCATCTGCGTGTTGGTGAAGTGGAATGATAGCCACCTTTCTGATTAAAATTCATAACCTTATACAAAGTACAACAACATTAACAACACTGGAAAATAATAACAATAATAACAACTAGTTACTACAACTACAACTACTGCAATAGCACCAGTACCAACAACAATAACTATAATAGTTACTGCTACAACACCCGCAGTAACAACAGTGGTAATAACAACAATAACAGCAACAACAACACGACAAAAAAAAATGGGGACATTGGAACTAATCTAGACGTGCTGTCTCCCGTGACAATTATATCTAACATGACTCGGCAGAAAAAAAAAGATAAATGAAATAAGAAAGAGAAATGTTGAAGTTTTTTTTTTTATATTTCATTTCTAGCGTTTTCACTCCAAAGAAAAGTTGATGGTGTCACGATTTTTCATTTTTTCCCTGCCTTTCTAAGCATATAATTTCTTTCCTCTTTTTCCGTATTTCCTTTATCTCTTTTTGTAATTTTCTTTTAGTTTTATTGTTATTTTTGTTATCATTCTCGTTCTTCTGATCATTTCTTCATTATGATTATCATTATCATTGCTACCATTCGTGATGTTATTGCAATCATTCTCCTTGTTATTATTGCGTTATTATATTACATCATGTTGTGCTATTTATCACTGTTATTGCATATTATTACCACAATTATCATTATTGCTATTGGTGTTATTAATTATTTGTCATTATATTTATCACCATTATTTTTAATAGTACTCTCATTTTGTTTATTATTTTAATAATACTCTCATTATCCTTATCATTCTTAATCATCATCATCATTATCATTTTTATCATATCATTTATTGTTATCGTTATTGATACTTGCATAATTATCCTCATCATTATCACTGACATTACTATCATTATCATTGTTATTCTTATTATCATTATTAATATTACTCTTATTCCTATCATCATCATTTTCATTATCAACGTTATTGATATTATTAACGTTCTAGATAATCAGGATCATCATTCCAATAACATACTTTCCTTCTAATCATCTTTATTGATGTCACTGAGAGAAAATAACTTTTCGCTAACAAATTTTCCTCAAAAACAGTTGCACTGCAGGCTATGTTTCGGAGAAACCTAGTCTCGATAGAATTAAAGTTGTATTCTAAATATCAGTCATGTACGTATGCACGCAAACATATACACACACACACAAACACATGTTTATATGTATTTGTGTGTACATATACAATATAAATACATATGTGTGTGTCGACACAATGTTCGTCATATTTTCATAATATCCATTCCCATATAAATATATACAGTCTATACAATCACTGCAGTCATATTCATGATCGTGACTATAATCTATTCTTACCATACTAAGAGTCACGTTGTTGTTATGATAACCATCTCATGATTATCATTACACACATAAGTCAAGAACCATGAATATAGCTAAGTGAAACAGGTAAATGAAACTTGTGCTAAAATCTAAAGCATTTTATTAGCCTACAAAATGAAAAATATATATATTGCAAAATTATTGCTGCATTTCCTCATTACAAAAAGGTGCTTACGGTTTCCACATAAACTCTAAATCCAGGTATCTTTTCTAAAAGTACACAATTGACGCAAATAATGCCCTGTACGACATTGAAACAAACATACACTTAATAGTACAAAAAAACGGAGAAAAAACTCAACTTAACAAAATACCACAAACATCACAGATAGTCAAATGAAACATCCCTTAAAACTACTCATCTTCTCATATTTGCAACGTCACGTAACACTGTACCAATCCATGTACATTGAAAAATATCATTACGGTAATCTGAGGCCTCTGTACAGCTCAGGGCTAAGCTTTGGCAATGGAAACTCTTAAAGGTAACAATAGTAATAATTCCCTATTTTCTATTTAAAGAAAATCTCAAACAGACCGTAATCTGAATAATAATAATAATAATAAATGTAATTTTTTCCTTATTTCTCCTAGGAGCAATAAAGACAATTTTTGAATCCTCTGAAAATAATAATGATCTATTTCAGGCAAAGAAAACCTCACCAATATATTTTTTCATTCTTATGACTTCTTACTAAGACCATTCTTACTTAGATCATTCACTATATACATCTCTAAAGAATTATTACATCCATTTCTATTTTAAAAAAGCAACTTTACTTAATCTACTTGTATTTGCTCTCCAATAATTACAAGTAATACCTATTGAAAATGAGAAAAAAATCTACATTTTCCATTTACTATTTCATAAACCTTAACCTACAGTATAAAGCTTTGTTACCTATGCATTTGATCTATCGATATATAAAAATATATAAAATGAAAACGATAGAAAGTTTTATTCTTTTAAATAGTTCTCAGAGCATAAAAAGATCAATTAATTACACTAATTAATTACGGTGGGAGATATAAGTTCCATCAACACAACAATGTCACTTCTTTCCCCATCGTCACAGATGAGGAGAGAAATCAACGTTGCACAAAACAAATCAGGAAATAATTAAATGTGAATGAAATTAATACAAGCCGGAGAAAGAGAAAGAAAATAATTTAAAAACAGGATGAAATTTCAAGAAGTTCAAATAATCAGAACTCCACGAAGGGTCATTAGGTTGCATGATTGCACACCAAAAGAGAGCATCAACAGCTGAGGATATATCAGTCAGACCTTCCCCAGGTTGTTTACACTCAGCTGTCAAAATCCCTTTTTAGTGTATTCTACTGTGAATCCAACGTCAAAGCAAGGAATAATGATAATGATAATAAAACATATATAATAATTATAATAATAATAATACTCATAATAATAATGATAATGAAATTACAATAATAAAAACAATAATGACGGTGATAATTATAATGATAATAACGAATGATTAATAATAATAATAATAATAATAATAATCCAAGGTCTCGTATCAGAATAACATGGCCAATGGCTTCATAGTAAAAGATAAAACAAGGTTCTACTTAGCACTCGGATCTTTAATGATGTCTCCTTTTTTAAGTCAGTCATGTTGGTGGCTTCAAGCGGTATTGTGACAAATTATCTCTCCGTTATGTTATTAATGTTTTTTCCCCTCTATCTCTCTCTTTCTCGCTTTCTTGCTGTCTTTCTTTTCAATACCAAATTTAAATTCTATACGAACAGTACAAAAATAAAAATTCCTGCACTTGCTTACTTCAAAACGTAAAATAAATAAATACCCACAGTTATTGTAATCCTTATCGTCACTATAATAATTCTAAGATCAATGATAGTAACATTAAACAACAAATCAACAAATGCAACCCTACACATAAACAACCGAATTAATAATCACCTCATTCTTTCGCCAACACACGACGCACACTAAAAAGAATCTGAATCCGGGTCTGATACCACTAATACCAAGCCAAGGAACTACTTACATTCTGTAGGCTTATTGTACCTACAGTACGAACATATTACAGCTGGGAGGTGGCCAGCTGACCCATCTTCGAACGGGTTACAGGGTCCAGTTCAATGTGTTGCCTGAGGTACGATGTGCTACGACCTGCATAGGTATCTCTTCTATAAATATTTTTCTTTCTTTCTTTTTTTCTTCTAATAGTATGGATGCATTTTGTTTACTTTTGATAAAATCGGGATGGGTTTTGTTCTTGTCCAAGAGTTGGCAATGCCTTGTGAAAGTAATGGCTGAGAATTTATATTTACGGTCGTTAGAACGGCCTCCAAATATGGTTGATACTAATGACGAAGTGGCAACTCACCGCCTCTGCTGGATATGATTCGCATATTCGACGAAATCCCAGCTTATTCTATATAATCTTAGATGTTTATAAGCCTTACATCTCTATCTATATTCTCTTACAG